TATTGAGAAAATGAAATTGTGTTGTTTGCACTTTATCCAAGATTGGTGTCATGTTGGGTAAATCTAATCAATACTTGAACAAATGCAAAATTAGAGCTTTATCATGAAATACTATGTCATTCTTGAAGAAGATGCCATTTCTTTTTTTTTTTTTTTTTTAAGATAGAGTCTTGCTGTTGTCACCTAGGCTGGAGTGCAATGGTGCGATTTTGGCTGGCTGCAACCTTTGCCTTCTGGGTTCAGGCAATTCTCCTGCCTCAGCCTCCCAAATAGCTGAAATTGCAGGCGCCTGCCACCACACCCTGCTAATTTTTGTATTTTTAGTGGAGACAGGGTTTCACCATGTTGGCCAGGCTTGCCTCAAGCTCCTGACCTCAGGTGATCTGCCTGCCTCAGCCTCCCAAAGTGCAGGGATTACAGACGTGAGTCAACATGCCCGGCCTCCATTTCTTTTCTGTAGTCTTTAATAAACAGCTGCTATCTTTGCAGACTTGCTATTTAGGCACTTAGAAATTTTTCACTAGAATGCATGTGAAGAAAGACCATGGGTATTTGTAATGAATTTAGCATTCATTGTTTGACTACATGACTGTCCCCAGAGCTGTAACTTTACTAATGAAGTTTTTAGAAGCCACTTAGCTAGCAACTGAGCCTAACCAGCCACTCACCCTCCTTATTCAGTGCTGTTTTGTTCTTGCCTATTTCTCCTCCAACTTGGCTACACTCACAAAGTGATACAAACTTGCATTTGTTTTCTTTCCTTTTTAGAGACAGGGTCTTGCTCTGTTAGGCTGCAGTACAATGACATGGTCATGGTTCACTGTAGCCTCAAACTCCTGGGCTCAAACAGTTTTCCCACTTCAGTCTCCCAAGCAGCTGGGACTACAGACATGTGCCACCATGCCCAGCTAATTTTTTCATTTTTTATCATAGAGATGGGATCTTGCCAGGTTGCTCAGACTGGGCTCAAAACTCCTGACCTCAAGTGATCCTCCTGCCTCAGCCTCCCAAAGTGCTGGGATTACAGGCTGGCATGACCACCTGTGCCCAGCCCCCTATTATTATTATTTTAAATAATGGCTTTATTAAAATATTATTAACATGCCATTCACTTTATTTATTGAAATCTGCAATTCAGTAGGTTTTAGAATATTCAGAGAGCTGTGCATCGATCACCACAGTGACTTTTAGAACCTTTTATTACCCTATAGAGAAATCCATACCCCTTAGCCACTACCTTCTACTCCCCCCACCTGCCTTGGCCTCCAGCCTTAGGCAACCTTTGATTCATTTTTTGTCACTATGGATTTGCCTAATCTGGTCAAATGGAATTGTACAATATGTGAT